AGATAATATGCATTTTCTATTCCGAGATTAATGATAGTGAACAACTGTCGCTATCATAGTCTCGAAAGGTTACCATTAGAACATCACATGTTCATAGCAACGCTTATATTGTCGTTATCAACGATTATTATCAATCTCGGAAATTTGCGCGCCCTTTCTTCATCTGCATATCACATTATGAAAATTTTCACACGAATTCGTATAGGAATGGTCGGAAAATAACAAAAATTTTCGTTAATTTTCCCATTTTTTTAATATTGTCATCAACACATGTAGTTGCTACAACAGTGTTGGAGTAGAAATTTATGTTTGCTTTCCTCAGCTCGGGAGTTTCCAAAACTACATTATGAAAATTCACACACGAGTTGGAGTAGAAGTGTACAACAAAAACCAACAATGTTTTCAAAAGTTTTAACAAAATTTGAACAAAATTTCCCCAGAATTTTCACATTGTCCCGTAGTTGACCATGTTAATATTTACTCAGTGGTGAAAAAACGCACATGGTCAACTACATCTGTTGATGAAAAAAAGGAAAAATTCTGAGAAAATTCTTGTTGGTTTTCGTACACTTCTACTCCCAGTCGCGTGAAAATTATTGGAGTTTCACAACCCGTTTTACGTCGTGAAAAAGCCGATATTCGCGGTGATATGCAGTAGTCGTGAAATATATTTTTCGCTAGTGTTTTTTCATCATATCACTAGGGTGAATTTCCATAATGTAGTTTTAGAAACTCCCCGAGCTGAGGAGATTATATATTCCTACTCCAACACTGCTCTTATATTACCTTGCATTTCCTCCAGTTTGCAAAAATACGTTTTTATGCTTTTTTATGCTGATCCTCCTACGACGGGTAGGAGGCGGTGAAAATACAGGGATCGCGAGGAAATGAACGTTTTTCTGGCGAAAAAAGTCACACGGATATTTTCACCCCGACATAATCGTTCGTTCTTCAATTGTGAGGAGAATAAATCGATAATATAATCGTCTGAAAATTCTACTACACGAATAGATATGAGGAAAGCGAACACATATACCTACACCAACAGTGTTGTTTACTTCTACGTATATTGTCATTTATATATAATCATATACGTATATATTACTATATTCATTAAATTTGAAAAAACTATGGGAAAATAAATTTGTCAATTCCTTATTAGGAAATCATCTGTTTCCTATTTGCCCTCAGGAATTAACACTCGAATTGTCTCAGGGAAAAAATATAAAATCGAGGGAGAAAAAAAATGTCGGAAAAATGCGGCGACCAGGAATCGAATGGGCATTTACCAGGGACCTCCTTATTTCGGACGAACGATGATGTGGGCAACTAAATGACTTCAAATTTGAGTTTCACCGCAATCTTCACATTGTTATCTCTACTACTCGCAGTGTGGTATAATGAAGCGTGGATAACACAGACGATGAGGAAACAGGAAATGGAGGCTTTCAGTAGCGTTAAAATGGGAAAATTTGCAAATGTGTTGGTGATGACAAAAAATTCTCATTGATTTTTGTACATTTCTACCCGAATTCGTATATAAAATCCTATAGTGTAGTTTTGGAAACTCCTGAGCTCAGTAGCTGAGGAAAGCGAAATTGAAGTTTTCAATGGTGAAATAATAATTGGAAATTTATCGGGTATTTTTCCGAATTCATTTGATGATGAGAAATAACAAAAAATTTTTTTCATCACCTTTTCAACGAAGTGTTAGAATAATTACGGTACCGTAAATTACGAGAAAAAAATAATTTTCAAAAAAAAATTTTCTTTGGATTTTATGCAGTTTCACCCTAGTGATGTGAAAAACATATTTCAAAATTCACTTCGCGGAAAACAATTACATTTTCGCGGAAACATATACGTCATAAAATTAACGTCTAGTATTACGCCACTTCACGACCCGTTTTACGTAAAGTGGCGTAAAACTCAGCGGTGAAAAACGCGATATTCGCGGTTATATGAAATATGTTTTTCACTAGTGTTTTTCATATCACTAGGAAGGTGAAACTACAATGATAGTTTTTGTGACCAACAGCAAGTGTCACTATTTTTTCAGAAAAAAAAATTCCAACGATTTTTTTGTCAGTTCCTCTGGTGTCCAAATACTACAGTGCGGAGGTTCTTGATGCTATCGAGACGCTGGAAAAAGACAATCTTATTCATCAACCAAATCTGCAAGAGTGGTATGAGGTAAAAAAAATAATTTTTTTCCAAAAATTTTTAATCAGTGTTGGAGAAAATTTATGTTTGCTTTCCTCAGCTGAGTTGAAGCTTTTTCAGATTGATTATTGAAGTTTATATACGAATTCGGGAAGAAGTGTTGAGAATTTTCCGAAGTTTCCTCATAATTTTTAATATTATCACCAACACATGTGGTTGACCATGTGCATATTTTCTCATTCCTAGTCAGTGTTGGAGTAGGAATATATATTTGCTTTCCTCACCTCGGGGTTTCCAAAACTATATTATAAGAATTTACACACGAGTTGGGGTAGAAGTGTACAGAAACCAACAATATTTTTCTGCATTTTTTTTCAGAATTACCATATTTTCCTACATTTTTTCCACAATTCTTTATTTTTCCCTACACTTTTTTCCAGAATTTTTATGTTTTCCTGTACTTTTTTTCCAGAATTTTCATATTTTCCTACACTTTTTTCCAAATTTTTCCACATTTTTGTGGTAAATATGATTTCTCAACATCAGGAACTTCTAAGACGACCCCGAACTCCCGCAGAGCTACGACGAGCTGAGCGTTCGAAAGGTGAAAAAGGCGATGATACTACTTCTCGAGAAATCATTCTGAAAATGATAAAAATTCGTAGTTTTTTTTCTCAACAGTGTGCGGAGGAAAATATGCAAATGTGAAAATTTTTGGGGAATTCTTGTTACCCGAATCCATATGTAACTTGTATTATATAGCTGAGGAAAGTAAACATATATTAATTGTGTTCGATCGTTTTAGAGTTTAACTGCACTGATCGTCATCAATTGTATTTTTTTTTGTTTTCAGCGATTCTCCTGGAGTGGTTACGACAGCTTTACATTTCCTACCAAAATGGAGTTTTAGATATTTCCAGGTGGGGTTCACGGAAAGAGACAAACTCTCTAGACTTGGTTTTTTTTGGAAAAAATAATAATGGAGTTTCACCCGTTTTACGTGAAGTGGCGTGAAAAACGCGATATTCGCGGTGATATGCAGTAGTCGTGAAATATATTTCCCGCTAGTGTTATTCATATCACTAGGGTTGATATTTATTCGTATTAAGGCACCGGGATGTTTTACCCGGCAAAAACAAAGTGTTGCTAATCCAAGAACTGGTAACACCATTGGCAAGAGCACACGATATGATGAGGGATAAGAAACAACTGTTGTTTTCGGATGATGGACAAACATCGGTGAGTTCGGGGGAAATTCGGATCGCTTTTATTGAGTATTTATTATAATGGAGTTGCACCACCCTAGTGATATGAAAAAAATATCGTATTTCGCGGTCGCAGAAAAGGCATGAAAATAGTAGTATTTGGAAAACACGTGATATCGCGTTTTTCACATGGAGTTTTACCCCACTTCGCGTAAAACGGATGAACTTTAACAATTGAGTAATTATAGTTATTCGTTTTTATAGTAGTTAGTATTAGAGTTTCACGAGGAGTGGTATGATACGATAGCGATATAAAGCGAGTTAAGAATACTCGTACACCGGGCAAGTCACTTCATACGTTTTACGCATTATTCACCCCTTACATGTGTTTTACACGAAGTTGAATATACTATGGGTGAAACTTGATTTTTTACTAATGTTTGAAATTGGTGTGATAACAGGTACTTGAACATTTCCTCGATATTTATCACATACCGTCACCAGTCACCGAATAATATATCAAAAGTTGCTTTTCCCGTCATTAATTCTTGCGTTTTAGCGGAGCGAAGCGTACATTTTTAGTGTGTTTTTTTGTGAGTGTGAAGAATAGATGGTGTGTGGGAGTAGACGAGGATTCACCGACCGGCAATTCTCACATGGTCAACTACATGTGTTGGTGATGACAATATGGAAAATATTGTTGGTTTTTTGTACACTTCTACCCCTAGTCGTGTGTGAATTTTCATAATATAGTTTTGGAAATTCCTGAGCTGAGGAAAGCAAATATATATTCCTACTCCAACACTCCGCAGCAATAACATGGGAAATTCGGAGTCTGCTGTTTGTATCAATTGCTGTGAGTTCGGTCGGTTACAATGAAACAGTGTTGGAGTAGGAATGGAATTTTACCCTAGTGATATGAAAAACACAAGTGAAAAATATATTTCACGACTACTTCATATCACCGCGAATATCGCGCCACTTCGCGTAGAACGGGTCGTGAAACTTCAATATATGTTCGCTTTCCTCAGTTACTGAGCTCAGGAGTTTCCAAAGCTACATTATAGGAGTTTATATACATATAGAACTGTATAAAAATCAACAATAATTTCGCAAGATTTCCCCAGAATTTCCATGTTGACGTTGTTTATATTTTTCTTCAAAATTCTTCAGCCTTGATAGTTTTTTTTCAGTATTTCGAATATATGCACATGGTCAGCTGTGTTGCTGGTAATATAGAAATTTTGAGGAAATTTTTTTTGAGAAATTATCGTTGATTTTCGTGCACTTATACCCAAAATCGTGCGAATTTTTCATAATATAGTTAGGAAATTTACGAGCTCAGTTGAGGAAAACCAAACATATATTCCCACACTGTTTTTACCTATAATACAAATGACGACGGCGAAGGTGTTACGACAGCAGTCGTTGGAGCTGTACCGGCAGATCCTCAGATTACATCGCAACAAATTGCCTGTTGTTATGAGGAATCTCGGCGACGCTTATGTGAAGAAAGAGTTTAGGACACACTTGGTGAGGTTTCATGGTTTGCGAATTGCCCTGCTCGATTCTGCGCAAGCGTCTTGAAGTGGTGGTGGAGGAATAGAAGAGCTCTCGGGAGTTTATATACGAATTCGGGTAGTAGAAGTGCTCAGAAACCACTGAGAATTCGCCGATATTGTCAACAACACATGTAGTTGAGCATGTGCATGTTCTACCACGGCTACTATAAATGGATTATAATATTGGAGTTTCACGACCCTAGTGATATGAAAAACAGTAGGGAAAAACACATTTCACGAATATCACCGCGAATATCGCGTTTTTCACCGAGTTTTACTCCACTTCACGTAAAGCGGGTCGTGAAACTCTAGTTGCCGTTGCCGAGATCTCCTTAGTTGCCGAGATCTTGGTTGTTTGCAAGTTTGATAACAGCTTGTTACTGTGATGCAATTTTCAACAGAGTTGTGGTAGGGGAATTAAATCAGTTATAATAATTTCATACTTTTAGAGAATATTGGAGTTTCACGACCCTAGTGATATGAAAAACACTAGGGAAAAATATATTTCACTTTTCGGAAAAAATGGTTACCGAAGATATTCACATGGAGTATCACACCACTTCACGT